GTAAGGGTTGTGTAGCACTCAAAGCTTTGAAGCAAGAGTGTTTGAATGTTACTTGACTAAAGCTGTGAAGCAGAGTCAAGTTAGTTGTGTACATCACTCAAAGCTGTGAAGCACGAGTGATTGTGTTACTTGATTAAAAAGCTGTGAAGCTTAATCAAGTGTGTGTTTTGAAGAGTGTCTTCATCAATTCTCAAGTCAAATTGGTTTATGTATCACTGCTGTGATTGAGGGGGAGTGAGTAGGAACTCAAGTTTAAGTTGTACTTAGATTAGAATTGCATTGGGTAGGTCTTAAGTGAAGGAGATAAACTGGTTGGTTTATTCCTGAATTAACATCTCTTATAGTGGATTCTCTCCCTGGCTTGGTAGCCCCCAGAGTAGGTGTTGTTGCACACTGAACTGGGTAAACAATTGACTGTGTTATTTACTGCTTTTGTATTTACTGTCATATAGTAAGTCAGATACGGTGTCATAACATTGGACGTGACATTGAGTATCTGTAGCCAGAATTTCAATAAGTCATGATGCATGTGCAATTTCAACATATATATGCAAATTAAGACCATCTCCATATCTTAATCATACAAGCATATTTCACATAATTCAACATATTTGAATTATCTTCACCAAATTGTACAACATACATACATCATGTCAACATTCACATACAATGCATACTCATAGCATTTATCAACTCAACACATCACATAACATGTCACCAACAATAGTCAAACCATGTTATCCTCAATCAACCATAATTTACAACATTCATATACATAATTCAAGTATTATATTTCTCATCAAAAGTCATCCAAAATACATCGAATCAATTATTAAAATTAATGGAAATCCTTCATAAATCATAAGAATACAAAATCACCAAACAATTACACGAAATATAAAACATTTTGTCTCAGACCGTGCTAAGCGCGATCCATTGTGCTAAGGGGCCTCTGCGAAATGCAGAAAAATTCTGCTACGAACAGTTTATGCCTCGTACAAATTTATCCTTCCAAATCCCAATCAAACACGTGTATTTCACCAGTTAAATGTATTATAATCTATATCTAACATATAGCATCAACTACAAACATTAAAACATGATTTCCAACATCAATTTCATGATTCTCATTCAAAACCTAAACATGTCAAAACCTAGAAATTGAAGAACAAATCCCTAATTTCATGTTACTATCCATCACATACCATTACATACACATATAAATCAAAGAATACCCACCCTTACCTTAGATGTAGATACTCTAGGGTTCTTCTTCTCTTATCCTTTTCTCCTCTTTTACTCTTTCTTCCCTTCTCTTGTTTTCTTCACTTTTTCTTTCCAACTCTATATTTTTCTTATTTTGTTCAACTCTTATTAACTAAATGGGCTTACCTTCACTCACCCACTCTAATGTTACATAAGGCCCAAATGTGTATTTTTCTATTCTCACACTGAATATCCCAATAACATATAATTCACACATATTCCAATTAAATCAATTATTCACATAATCACACAAAATCAAGTAATTAATTAATTAATTATTAGTCAAATAATAATTAACATGGAAAATGAATAATAAAATAATTAATAAACAAAAATTGGGGTGTTACAATTTGGAAGAACACCCAGCTTGTGATGGGATGTTCACGTTGTAAAGTTGAGATCACGACCTAGATCTTCGCTACCGCCCTCAGTTCGGAACCCAACTTTGGGAAAATTGACTAGTTCCCTACACTGTCGAGCCACAACACCGTCGACGCAAGGCCCCTTAACACTTAGCAAAAAGAAATACTTAATTGAGCGTGCAAACAAGCAAAACTAAAAAGACAAGCATACACTAGCACGTTAAACAAAGTTAAATACGATAAAATTATCTCGACCACTATGGCCGAAAATGTCAAAATATTACAGCAAAACTGGGAAAATCCCATTATCGAAAGGTTATAAAAAATTGAGGCACGTAGGCCCAAAACAAATACACATAGGTAAAAAGAAGTCATTCCTCATGAGCGTGCTCCCTGTCGTTTCGCTCCTCCTCGAGGTAGAGATCATTATCTTCATCATCCGAAGGAAGGCCAGGAGGAGGTTCTATCCAACCGTCGACCACCCGGTACAAGGAACCAGTCCCCTCGGTGACAAGCTTGACCTCTAGATTCATAATCTTGACTTGGGCCATTGTATTATCAAAATTCATCTCGACAACCTCCAGGAAATTGTGCTCGAGTTCCTGAATCCGAGAAACCAATTCAGTTCAGGTCTTCAAGGCTTTCACCTCGTCGGCCTCACCCTCAGCAGGCGCCCAATTTCCTTCAAATCGACAATTTCATCCTCGAGACCTTTCTTTTCGAGAAGCCAGGAACCCTTCTCCGCAGAAAACTTAGCTACCTCTTCCTTCTTCCTCAAATCGGTGATAAGCCCAGCCCGGAGCCGACACTTGTCTTTATAGTTATTAAAGTCATATTCCAGCTTACTCGCCTTGACCTCGAGGGCCAATTTCACTGTTTGCAATTTCTCCAGCGCTCTAGTAGAGAAAGTCTCCTTGCCAGTGAGGACCACAACCATCTCTAAAACCTCATCACGACAGTGGGATCTTCTTACAGTTTTCTTCTCTTGCCCGCTGAATAGAGGACCTGGATGACCACAGACTCTGCCAAGGGCACATCTAGAGGAAACCCTTAAAAGAAGCCATTCTCGAGGAAGCAAGAATGCAGCGCGAGTTTGGCTCCAAGAGTTTCGTCTATAAGATCTATCTCCATGTCTCCTTGTTCCCGGCTCCTTTTTCTGCTCGGGTTTTCTTGCACGGAAAGAGGTTCTTCGACCACTGGAGAGGATGAAGAAGTACCCGAACTGTTCTTGGGTTGGTTCGAGTCTAGAGCAAAGCGACTCTTAGTTAATTTCTTTTGACCCTTCGAGACCTTCCATCTGCTATGCACCATCTTGAACACACGATCCTAGAGGCTTGACATCTTATTTGCGATAAAATACAAACACAAGTTAGTACACCAAGAAGAAAATAACATACAAGCATGCTAAAAGAAAATAAAGCACAACTATCTAAAAGCACTACGGCTTCCTAGAAAGTTTTATACTCGAGGAGCTCCTTGGTATTTATGTTTTGAGGTTCGTATACAGGCTAGCCGTCATCATCGAGGAAATCCTCCCCATTTCTAGTCTCCCACTTGGTAGGGGAAAAACCATCGACAAATTTCATGAGCTTTTGATAGTTACGCTCGTCCGCGGGATCTAAGTCGTCGGGCCTGGTAAGATAATATTATGTGCCCTGTTTAAAGTGAACCTCAATCCAATGAATTGGAAACCTCGGGACCAGCTTTGTATCCTTATCCCAGTCGTCACCGTAACACACACTCTCATCCTCCTCGACTACGACCGTCTGCTCGAACACTAATCGAAGGCTTCTCGTGACACTGGTTTGACGAGGTAATACCTATCCTTGAAATTGTGAACAGAATCCACGAAAGTCTTAAACAACTTCTTCGGCTGCTTAAAGGAAACCCAACTATGTTTCCCAAATTAAAGCAATCGTGTTTGGATGCAATTGGGAGGGCGCTTACTCCATATGAGTACAAATCTCAACCTGAAGATCGCTGAAGGGCAGCCAAAGCCTAACTCTTTTAAACAAAACTCATACATAGAAAAGCGGTTCCCCGAATAGTACAAGCATATCCTTTCCTTCTCGGTAGGGTAATATGCCCCCTAATTTGCCTCGAACTCTGGATCGTAAATGCATCGCTTGGGGAGTCGACGAAGCGCGAGGCTATGCCCCGAGGTTCCATTCTGAACCATTCCAAGTCAAGATCTGTAAATGTGTCGACCAGGTAGATGCCCTCAGGGCTTCGAGCCATCAAACCTGAAAAGCAGATGGAAAAAATGAATTTGGCGATCAAATCAAATCCACCCTTCCACCGCAAATCAAGTGAAAGGGCGCTGAAGGGCCGAGAACGAAGTCCCTGACCAAAGTCCTTACTCAACGGCGATCCCCTAAGTCTCGCGGGGACAAGCCTCCCGACACATGAACTTCATTGGAGACACATGAATACTGTAGGGAAAATCTCTCTCGACACATGAACTTTGTCAAGAATTCATGAATCTCAGGGAGACAAACCTCCCTGATACATGAACTTTATGGAGATTCATGAATCTCGCGGGGACAAAGCCTCCCCGATACATGAACTTCAAAGAGACTCATGAATCTCGCGAGGACAAAGCCTCCCTGACGCAAGAACTTCATCACGTTGGGAAAGCCTCCCCAACATATGAACATCACCAAATTTTCCTACTTTAAGTCCTAAACGCCTCCCACTGGAGCCGGCGTTTAGGAATGGTCGAACCACCGTCAAATGCCAACACATGGCGGGAAAGTCAGATATTCTATTAACCACTCTCAGTTTCGCTTACCTCTCACTCTTTCTGACTTAAGCATTGGAGTGCATTGCAAGTAAACTCTCTTTTTATGAAACACTTTGGATCAACAGACAATTGGATTAACCACACTTCTCTTTCTGATCATAGGCAATATCACATTTTAATAACTATATTTTAAAAAAACTAAAATTATATGCATATGTTAATGATTTTAAAAGGTTTTTCTTAAAATTTGACTTTAAACCACGTATACGTTAGACCGACTTTGGTTTAAATAGTCATATTTTTATATTTGAAAGTTTATTAACTTTTAAAATTTAAACATTACAAAATATAAATAGTTATAAATTTATAATTAAATAAAAAAGATTTAAATAATAATAATAATAATAATAATAATATTAATAATAATAATAATAATAATAATATTAATATTAATGTTGTCACTTATTTTTCAAAGTAAATTAATTTCTGGTAGTTGACAAAACTGGAGGTGCTAATAGTAGCTCCAATATACAAGAGAAAAGCCCATATATTAACTGGACCGGTCACATAAGAAACTGAGCCTATAGTAACACGTTTCTATCCCGATTTGATTTTCCCTCTCCATAGAAATGGCAACGGAAGGTGTAGGTGGAAGCGGTAGCAGCAGCGAAGTGGAAAACGACTTGGAAATGAAGCTCTTACGCGACAGATTCAGGCTCTCCGCGATCTCAATCGCCGAATCTCAAGGTTCAATTCTTCTCTTATCACATTCACTTCTCGTTTACGATTCAAGTTCCTAATTCTCGTTCACGATTCACAGCGAACAAAAGCGGCATGGAAGTTTCAAATGTCGTCGTCGCTTGCATCGCTGATTTGGCCTTCAAATACACCGGTAATTACAGTATTTGTTCATCGTTGATGATTAATTAGGTTTAGTTTCTGTTTATATGTTGATTATTGAGTAATTGAGTTCATAATGGGAGCAGAACGGTTAGCGAAGGATCTTCAACTATTTTCGCAGCATGCGAATCGTAAATCTGTAAATATAGAGGATGTTATACTCTCTGGTTAGTTTTGAAATGTTTTTGCATTGCCTTTTTTGTTGATTGTATTGTTTATGTGTATATTTTGTTTTTGAGAATCTGAATGAATTATTGAAAAAGTAATTCTAGTGTGTGTTTTGGTTCAGCGCATCGAAATGAACATCTATCTGGCTTGTTGAGGACTTTCTCCAATGATTTAAAAGATCGTCAATTTGAGAGGAAGCGAAAGAAGAATGATAAAACAACTGCTTAGTGCGTATATTGCTCTACTTTTCTTGGACTTGTTAACTGTTTTGGTATATATCTACGACTCTATCTTTTTAGTGTTTTGCGTCATTTGGAGCTTACTAGTTAATATCAGCCAATGTTAAAGAGTGTAGTAGTCGATGTGAGGCAAACAAATTTGCTTTATGTACTTGTATAAATATTACTGTATAGTTCAAACAGAATGTTTGGGATGCCTATTTTTTGGTGCGGGTAAGTAATAATGTAGCTAGTGTAGCTAGTTGAATCTGTTGGAAAAATGAGAACCCCTTGACTCAGGTCTATATGAGAGTGTGGACTGGCTATATTAACAGTATACGATATGTGTCCTAGCAAATTCTCAAATTAGATCACGACATTATGATCTATGTCGAATACTAAACAAATCACCTAAAATTAGAAGGAATTCAAAATCCTGGAAATCTTTAAGAGAGCATACTAATTGTCATATTTATTTTGCTTCTGTTACCGCATACCAAACAACAAATTCTACTCATTGGATCTAATAGACTAATATAGTAAGGTTTTTAGAGTGGCTAAAAAAACTGATTGACTAAATTACGCATCTTCTCCATCAGGCCTGCTTGGTAAATTCTTTAAGTCGACACACAAATGCCTTATTATCTACCTTTGAAAATATGGTGTGAAGGTCAATTAGACCAGGTTGGTTGTTGTTACAAAGAAGCTTTCTAGGAACGTGCTAGTATATTCTAATATGCAATTCTTTGGAAGTGTACGATTTTTACAAAGCAGTATAAAATATACTACGGGGATTGATTACCTTTTCCTAGAATTTGAATTGAATTGAATTTTTATGAATTTAATAAATAAACTAAATATTTTTTTTTTAATATTTCAATATTATTAAATATGAATTATTTATGATTTATTTTTTTATTATACTTTTGATCGATATATTTTTTTCATTTCGAAAGTAAACTTTCAGACAAGATGAACATGTAAGAATGTTGTTAAAAATGAATAACATTGAGTTTTTATAGAATACTCTTTAAAAAAAATTATAATTATGAGGTGAATAGAAGAGTTCTCTTTAAAAAAAAATTATAATTAAGGCACATACCCAAGCCCAATGGGATCAATGCACACCCAAACCCAATGGATCAAGATTGGAACGATGCAAAAACACAACAACTGACCCGAGGCATTACTTAGTACATTCCATGAGATGTTAGTTTATATACCTCGCACTAGAATCTATCCCCTTTCTTCTTCATTTTTTACATTTTTAAAATTTTTTTTGATCTTATCGGTTGATCGAAATTTGAAGTGGATCAATAGATGACGTCTGTAAGGCTGAAATCAAAGGAGAGGACGAGGTGTATCTACAAGGCACTCTGATGCTCAAGTAAGAAAGAGTGCAAAGAGATACAAGAAAGAATTTAGGGTTTTTATAATGAATATTGGATACTTGACCCTCACAAGTGTAAAGGTTTAGATAGTGCCCCCGGTGCTTGGCCATTGGTTTCTATTTTTGAACATAAATATCAGGTTCTTCAAAAATAGGTAACTGCCAGGAACTAGCAGTTATGACGGACAAAGATGCTCGAAATTGGCTGTTATGACGGGTAAAGAAGTGTTTCACGAAAAAACACGATTTCTAGTCCTTTCTGGGTGGTTATCCTCGTGTGGCTTGGCAGGATGAGGAATAACTTATTTGAGTGGGAAGAAGTAACCGTGCATACCCTGGTGGTCAGCAGGCCATGACTCATCGGGTGAGGGGCAGAAGGGATAAAGTGTCGTTTATCCTTCATGATTTATTGGGTCACAACTATTGGACCGTCCTACGTGCATAAGTGGATTGAGCCCTGTTTAACCATTGGGCCAGTCCAGAACAGGATTCCCTCAAGTCGTCGCTCATGGGCGTGAGAGTGATGACTTAGAGTGAGCCTGTGTGCCGAGGAGGCGATAATGCCATTGGCACTTGTCGTAAGAGACAAAGACGTTTCAGGATGTATCCGGGGATAGGCATGATCGGGGAGCCCAAACGTGGTTTCATGTGTTCGGCGGGCGGGGAGCTGAATGGTTGATTGGACTCTGAGAGGTTGTGTGCCACGCCTGCATCGAGCCATGCGCTTTCATTAATGCACAATGATGGCAGTTTAGGGGCTAGGGTTAATGACGATCCATACAGTGCCCTAGGTCGCGTGTGCGCGAGCACGTGTGCCGAGATGGTTTTATAAATAGGGCAGAAGGCAATTCATTTACATTTTTCGATTCTCTCCCTTTTTCACTTTCTCTATTTATTTTTTCTTGCTGTTGCCACCGTGCACTTCCGTCCTCCGTCGTTGCAGAGTTGTTCGACCATAGTTTCAAGCTCTCTGACCACGTAAGTTCCTTGTTGTCTTCGTTTTCTTTTAGCTTTTAGCTTCGTTGTTGACTGAAATACATGCAAATAGGGTAGAGTGAGTTAGGATGAACATTTTTCTGGTGACTTGTTGGTGTCTGACGGTGGTTAATCCACTTTCTGGCGCTATCATTGACGAGAGGGCGGGTTTGAGCAGAGAAATGCACGTTTTTGGTTGTTTTGGGATCGTATTCGTGGCGACGAGCTTAGCTTATCGCTGTCGTTATCCATTAATTTCTGGTAAACTCATGAGTTTTCCGGTGGACGCATGAAGTTTCCGATGAATGTATGAAGTTTCTGATAAATCTTCAAACAAAATTCTAGGTTAATGTGTCGGGGAGGCTTTCTTCGTTAGGGTTTATAGGTTTTACCCGTCGGGGAAGTTTTAGGCCGACTGAGCAGGATTTTGTGATGTCCTCGTTTGATGCTTGAGCAAGGGGTTTTGGCCGAGGACATCGTTCTCGTGTCTTCGTATGCCCTTTTGCCTGATTTAGCAGTGGAAGGGTGAATTTGATCTGATCGTCAGATTCACTTTTGTCCTCTACTTTTCAGGTGCAAGTGTCTATAGATTCCAAGGACGAAATCATAGTCAAACAGGCCGAGACTTTTAGGGAAGAGCGAGTGTCCTCGGACCCCAACGGATGGATTACTCTAGAGCCAAGGGGGTAGCCTTGCTCTCGTCCTCTTTCCCCGATGACACTTTCACAACGATAGGAGGCGAGACAAGTTCGTCAAACACCGGGGAGGATTGGAAAGTCGTCTTTCCGGGGGAAAACGAGCAGATCTGCTCGCGTTCGAGACTGATTGTTTCCATGTGTATGAATATGTTTTCAGAGAGAAGGGGCTTCATTTGCCCTTCTCAGGTCTTCAGGTGGCCGTTTTTGTCCACCTGGATTTGGCGCCCTCGCAGCTTAATTCGATCTTGTTGGATTTTATGCGGCCGTTCAAGATTGTTTGTGATCACCTGAAGATTAGGGCCACAGTCCCCCCCCCCCCCCCTGTTTTTTTTCCTAATTCCATCTTCAACGGCAGACGACCTCGAAGGATCTCTTCGGCTGGGTTTCCTTGAAGCAGTCGAGGAAGTTGTTCAAGGCATACTCAGAGTCTATCAAAACATTTAAGAACATGTACTATGTGGTTATGCATGTATCCTAGAGGTCCATCGATTCCCCACTTTATTGGCAAGTGATGGTGGACGATAATGAGGAGCCTCTACTGAGCAAGGACGCTAGACCGAGAAGACAAGGTTCCATTTTTCCTAGAGTCATGATCATTTTGACCGAAAGACCGATGAGTATATCGTTCATCCCGACGACTTGGAGGAAGATGATTGGGCCATCTATAATAAATTGGTGGCCTTTGTTGACAACTTTATCCCTGCCCGGTGCTTGACCAAGCGTGGAGCGATCATACTTGACGAGGATGGGGAGCCTATGCTCGTGGCTCGACTTATTAATACAAATGGGCTTCTTGATTGTGCCACCCACGAGGAAGCCTTAACACTTTTAGGTAGCTTTTGTGTTGTTGTTACCCCTTATTTGTTTTCTTTGTTTTACTGACTTGTCTTTGTTGCTCGTTGCAGATAAAATGTCGAACCCTCAAGAGCGTATGGTTAAGGCGACAACATCCAACAAGTTGAAGCAGTTGAAAAAAGCTGGGCTTCCGAAGAGCGTTCTGGGTGGCACTATAGTTCCTCCTCCGACGGGCTCAGGGAACTCTTCATCTGCTCCTATCGGGGAGCAACCTTCTCCTCAGGAAGTGAGTTTGGATAGGAAGCGTCACCAAGTTGGGGAAATCATGGACTTGACCTTGGAGAGGTCTCTAGATGAGTATGAATTATCTCCCTGTTGGTTGCAAAGGAGCTACTTAGTGGGGGTCATTCTCTAAAGGTTCTGCGGGCAGAGTCCATGCACTTGGAAAATTTGGATCAATCGAGTAAGAGGAAAACTCTTACCAATGATGTGGCAGGCCTGATGAAGATATTGGAGCTGGCGGTTGTCCATACCAAGGAGGGGACCCCCAGTGTCAAGGAGGTGAGGGACCTTCTTGCGGCCAACGTGACTCTTCAGGCAAAGGTGACTAAGTTGAAGTCTGATAAGGAGGAGTTGGGAAAAGAAAAAATATCACTGTCCGAGCAGAATGAAAAGTTGGTCAAGTCGAACAAGGAGTTTGAGGACAGGGTTGCTGCCCTAAAAGCTAACGCGGCTCCGGCTGAGGGCGATATCGAGGAGCTGCAGCAATTAAAGACCTGTGCAGAGTTGGTTTCTCGCCTTCGTCGGGCTGAGGAGGATCTTGTGGCTATTGGCGAGGAGAGCATCAATAATGCAATAGAACATTTGAGGATTGCCAACCCTAATATCGAGTTTAGCATGGTCGGGACTGAGTTTGTTTATAGTATGGCTGATGGGAAGATCGTTGTCTCTGAGTTCCTTCATTTTGGAGAAGATGAATGAGGCGAGCATGCCCGCGAAGAGCAACCTCATCCCAACAACTGACAAATGTTAATGGTGTTTTCTTTTGTTCGGCCTGCACGCCGTAACTTGTAATATTTATTTTGAGGGCTTTTGCCCGTTTTGTCGTAACACCTAGATAACTTCGATCTCATGGCCGTTATATTTCCTTTT